CCCCTCCACCAACACCCTTATCCGCCTAACTGAACTTGTCCTTACCCTTAACAATTTCTCCTTCAACTCCTCCCACTTCCTACAAACGAAAGGGGTGGCATGGGTACCCGCATGGGCCCAAGTTATGCCTGCCTCTTTGTAGGATACATGGAACAGTCCATCTTCCGAAGCTATACTGGCCCTATCCCCCACCTCTTCCTCCGTTACATTGATGACTGTATTGGCACCGCCTCGTGCTCCCACGAGGAGCTCGAACAGTTCATCCACTTTACTAACACCTTCCACCCCAATCTTAGGTTCATCTGGACCATCTCCGATACCTCTGTCTACTTCCTGGACCTCTCTGTTTCCATCTCTGGTAACCACCTGGAAACTGATATCTATTTCAAGCCTACCGACTCCCACAGCTGCCTAGACGACACCTCCTCTCGCCCACCTTCCTGCAAGAATGCGATCCCCTACTCCCAATTCCTCCACCTCTGCTGCATGCTCCTAAGATGAGACGTTCCACTCCTGGACATCCCAGATGTCCTCGTTTTTCAAGGACCGTAATTTCCCCTCCACAGTGGTCGAAAATCCCCTCGACCGCATCTCTTGCATTTCTCACACCTCAGTCCTCACACCCCCTCCCCGCAATAACAACAAAGACAGAATTCCTCTTGTCCTCACATATCACCCCATCAACCTCCGGGTTCCGCGCATCATTCTCCGCCACCTGCAAACTGACCCCACTACCAAGGATATATTTCCCTCCCCACCCTTATCTGCCTTCTGGAGGAACCGCTCTATCCGAGACCTCCTCATCCGCTCCACACTCCCCACTAGCCCCAACACCCCTGGCACTTTTCCCTGCAACCTCAGGAGGTGCTACACCTGCCCCTACACCTTCCCCCTCATTTCCATCCGAGGCCCCAAGAAAATCTTCCACATTAAACAGATGTTCACCTGCACATCCGCTAATGTGGTATATTGTATCCGCTGTGCCCAATGTGGCCTCCTCGACATCGAAGGCTTGGAGACCGCTTTGTGGAGCACCTACGCTTGGTTCGTGACAAAGGACCACGAACCACTTCAACTCCCCCTCCCACTCCTTGGATGACATGTCCATCCTGGGCCTCCTCCAGTGCCACAACGATGCCACCCGAAGGCTGGAGGAACAGCACCTCATATTCCGCCTGGGAACCCTGCAGCCCAACTGTCTCAATGTGGACTTTACAAGCTTCAAAATCTCCCCAGCCCCGACCTCATCCCAAGACCAGCCCCTCTCATCCCTGCCTCCTTGACCTGTCCGTCTTTTCTCCCACCTTTCCGCTCCTTCCACTTCACTGACCAACCCCCACCCTCACTTCCTACATACTAGCCTCATCCCCGCCTCCTTGACCTGTCCGTCTTCCCTCCCACCTATCTGCCCCTCCCTCCTCACTGACCAACCCCTATCCTAACTCCCTACCTACACTCACCTGTACTGGCTTCATCCCTGCCTCCTTGACCTGTCCGTCTTCTCTCCACCTATCTGCTCCTCTATCCACCTTCTATCATCGCCACCACCTCTCTCTATTTATCTCAGAGTCCCCTTCCCCTCCCCCATTTCTGAAGAAGGGTCCAGACCCGAAACGTCAGTTTTCCTGCTCCTCTGATGCTGGCTGGCCTGCTGTGTTCATCCAGCTCCACACCTTGTTGTCTCTTATCCACCATCTCTTGATGTCTCTGCTGTTCATGATACTTCCCTAAGAGCTAATTGTTAGGATTATATTTAGACCAGCCTTTGTTGACAACATTTCCTGATCTGTGTGCACACTGCACATTTTCATTTTGTGTTTTCCCAATTTCTTGTAGCTCTCCGTCAGAAGGGAGGTGGGGAGTTTGTTATAACCCAATGAAACTGCTTTCACTTCTGATATTAGAGCTACGTCTGGAGATTCTGCTTGACCAACAGTGTGCTTGACAGAATGTGTCTGCTATGGCCTGAGCTTTCTCTAATAGATGCATGAACTGTGAGAATGTTTGGTGGGGTTCTGAACCATTATCTTGTTGAAGGGCTTCATCAGCAAATTTGAAAAGACAGTTATGCACATCCATTTCTGAGCAGTAAAAGTATTATTTAATTGTGTAATATGTGGAATCTTGTTGATCTGTTGCCTCTTGAGGTAAGTGTGGTAATGATCTGACCTTTTACTTGAGGATCTGTGCTTCATGGTCCTATCAATTCATTCTAAATAGTCAGCCAGTATTATGTTATCTGCACAGCCTCCTCCCATCTCAGGCCCCATCCCTGACATTTTTAGCTGGCCCAGCTGAGCCTGGCCCAGAGCAGTCAAACCAGAAACAATGAACTATGGGATAAATTGCACGACTGGCCTGTGGAATCATTGTCTCAATGAGCAAGTGATTAATCAGTCAATGGAACAGACTCCTCGCAGAAGTATTGGAAATATGCTGACATTGATTCATGGAGAAGAATCCTTTGGAAAGCAGCATCTGAGGAATTCAAGGGATGGTGTTTGGAGGATGTAGAATGTTTGGGAGGTACGGGTAACCTTGAAAATATGCCTCTTAGAGCTCCTCAGCACTAAGGAATTTCCCCACCTCATGGCTGATGTGTTCAAACTCAGTGAAAGAAATTGAATGTTACGATTGTTTATAAGTGCGTTAGCAGCTTGAAGCAAGATTGTGATGATGTCACAGCGCTGCACTTCACCAAGTATAACTACTACAGTGTGGGCAGAATGAGAACAAACTACAAAGGACTGTAGAGGATACACTAGACCACACTACATTAGAATTCTCTACTCTCTGGAAGAAACACAGAGAGCACATGGACATGAACATGTAAAGAAGGTAGATTAATCCTTACCTATTGTAACTATAAGGCAAAGAATTACAATGTACAACAGTATTTAGTATTAATGTATAGTAAAGAGAGTTACTTTGTAGATTAAGCTGATAGGCAGTGCTTGACTTTGCCTTACTCCAGACGGCAAAGAATCCAAACTCAGGCAATATCAAGCCACACAATGAAGGAATTAGTCAGGAACTCCATTATTGCTATGTTATGGGAATACCTGGAAGGTAAAAAGAGAATTAGATGGACTTCCTTAGTCCAGTTATTCTGATATTCCTGTTTCCTTTTCCATTATTTTTATGTACATATTCCTTATTGTTTGGATATTTCACTTTTCCAAGGGCTTTGAGTTATCCAAGGTAGCCAGATGGCTAGAGAGTGAGGCAGAATAATACGGGGATTTAATACATCTACCAACACTGCTCTGCCAGTGAGCCCACCTCTTCACCCTGCCTTATGCATGTGGCATAGTACCCCTCTAACCCATTGTTTCTTCCTATTGGATAGAGATGCCTATGGTCCCTCATGGGCTATGATCTGCTTTCTGCCTATATTCCGCTTTCTGCCCATATTCCATGATGATCTTTTCACTGCCCCATGTTTCTATATCAGGGATAATACGGGAAGCCTGTTGAATTTCAGTTGAACATGTTACTGATACAAATCTACCTGTAGGAGGATCAGAGACACTCCAGGAAAATGGGTACAAAGGTGGACTCTACAGACAGTCAGGAGAATCCCCCTCTCTCTCACCCACACTGAGATTCCAGCCTGAGAAAACACTGATTTGAATGTGGGTCAGTGGCAATGTGGAGAAAAGTTGCAGCATCAGCAGGTGTAGTGCCTCCTAGGAGCTGACAGCACACAGCCCACTTAGCACTGTCAACAGACAGACAGTGAGAAACGAGCACACTGTGCCAGCTCACTCCGCTGGGCAAAGTGAAAAGTCTCCTACATTTTGCCACGTCATGGTGAGAAATGATCCTTTGTTTGGAATGCTGTATTCTCCAGTTTCTGAGGAACTGACTCCATTCATCATTTCAGCTCAGCTCCTTTTCCTTGCAGAGTAAGGGGCAGAACAAATCTATCAATTCCACATTGTAAATCCACTTCACATGCTCTCTGCTCCCTTATCAGAGTTTGAATCTTTTCAATGCTTAAACTTTTTGCATCTATAAAATAAAGCATTCACTATCTTAAAGGCACTGCTGTTTCTCTGATGGTGAGTTTACCTCCACACTCACAGTTTAATCCAGTTCTGGGGGCACTGGCCATTCTCAACTGGTGGCTGAATGTTGGCGGGCTATTTGGCCATGGGTGCATCACAGCTGATGTGAAGTACAGCAGGTATTGGAAGAAATTTCTGGGCAGCGTAAACTTGTGGTTAATGTTTTGGGCTGATGACCAATCATAAGGAACACAAAAGCAAGACATTAAGAGCAGGTTATTTGGTCAATTGATTGTGCACCACTGTTCAATAAGGTCATGGCTGATCTGGTTGTGATCTTAACTCCTCCTGTGATCTTAACATGTCTGACCCCATAATTCTCAACTCCTCTGTCTAACCCAGCCTTGAATATATTCTGTGGCCTAACCCCACTGCTGTCTGGGGAAGAGAATTCCAAAGACCCTCTGAGTGATAAGAATTTTCCTCAGCACCAACTTTTAAATAGTATCCCCTAGTTACAGACTCCCCTCCCCAGAGGAAACATCCTCTCGACATTCACCCTATCAAATCTCACCAAGATCTCACATGTTTCAATAAGATAACTTCTCATTCTTCTAAACTCCAAACGATACAGGCTCACCCTTTCTGACCTGTCCTCATAAGCTTACACTTAATCCCTGGAATAAGTTGAGTGGACTTGCTCTGAACTACTTCTCATGCATATACATCCTTTCTTAAATAAAACTGAAATTTGGACAATATTTAAGATGTGCTCTCAATGATCTATTCAACTGCAGCAGCACTTCCCTCTCTTATATTTGAACCCCTTTGTGATTAAGAGGAACACTTCAATTGCCTTCCTAATTACTCACTTTACCTGCATATTAACTTTTTGTGATTCATGTACCAAGGCACTCAGAACTCAGACTGTCCTGCAGCATTCGACAGTCTCTCTCGTTTTGCTTAGTGTGCTGTTTTCTGTTCTTCCAGACAAAACGGACAAGTTCACATTTTCTCATGTCATACCCCATCTGCCAAATTTGATGCAAGTTGGACAAATCTAAGAGAGCTGTCAGATCCTCTTGGAGAAAACCGATGGTTATAACATTGACGTGTGAACGTGTGCAGCTGCTACTACACTTGTCTATTTTGGAGTGAAAACGTTTCAATCAATCCTATGGTCTACATGATAAGGTCAGCAACACTGAGAGCGTTAACAGTGAGTGGGGAAAATGCTCACCAGCAACAAAATTATCATAACTATGATAAAAACTACCACCCCCAAAGTGCAACAGGGGCATGGAACTCCAGAATATGGAGTGGTGTTGGTAAAGGACGATAAACATTTATATTACAATGTACACCATGATCTGGTACCTGTTTTTCTAAACATCTCCTAAACTATTTGCCAGAGTGGTGTTTGGTTCAGATCTGAGAATTGTAAACATCTTGGTAAGTGAGTAATAACACAGTAGGTTGGAGGATGCAGCACCTGTCCAGAAGAAAAATCAACTGAAATGCAGTCTAGTATTTGATGTGGTTCTTGTATTAGCACAGGGACCTCAGGAGAAGATATGATTAGTTTGTCAATGGTGAACCAAAAGGTTTAGACTTTTAAGTTCTCAACTTAAGGAAAACTTGGCAAGGGTTAAGGAAACATCCAGAACATACAGCTCAGTACAAACCAAGACCTGATGTGGGTAATTCACAGCTTGTCCACAATGGACCTTCATAATGTTATCAGGGTGCTGTAAAATCTCTCAAATGATGCAATCAGAAATGATATCTGCAGTATTTATCGATCATAGATACTGGAGCAAAGAGGGAAAACCTGAGACATGTTCACAAGGGGAGGCTCCCCTCTTCCCCTGTGGATAACCAATGCACACTTGTTTAGCCTATCACATAGGAAGTATGGCCTGACCAGCTGCCAATGCAGGGATTTAACTGTAGATGTAAGACTGAAGCAGAATGTGTTTTAGAGACAACGAGTCACACAGCATGGAAACAGACCCATCGGTCCAACCAGTCCATGCTGAATTAAACTAGTCCCACTTGCATGCTCCTGGTCCATATCCCTCCAAACATTTCCTCTTCATGTACTCATCCAGACGTCTTTTAAACATTGCAATGGTACCCACATCCACTACTTTATCAGGAAGTTCATTCAACACAAGAACCTCACTTTGTGTAAAACATTTGCCCCTATGTCTTTTTTTAATCTTTCTCATCTCACCTTAAAAATGTGCCACCTAGTCTTGAAATCCCACATCCTAGGGAAAAGACAGCTATCATTAACTCTACCTATACTCCTCATTATTTGAAAAACTTCTATAAGGTCACCTCTCCACCTCCTACCCTGCGGTGTAAAAAGTCCCAGCCTGTCAAACATTTCTTTATAACTCAAACCTGGCAACATCCTGGTAAATCTCTTCTCCAGCTTAATAATATCCATTCTATGACTGGGCAATGAGAACTGGACGCAGAATTCCAGAAGAGACCTCACCAATGTCCTGTACAACCTCAACATGACTTCCCAACTCCCATACTCAAAGGACTGAGCAATGAAGGCAAGTGTGCCAAATGCCTTTTTAATTACCCTTATTGCGATAATATCATAATCAGTATTGTTCTAGCAACCCCTGATATACCAGAGTCAACACCTATTATATACTTGAGAGAATATCGAGTGATTAGGATAAATTAATCTATGGTAGGCTCATTCACAAAGTAAGGAGCCTTGGGATTCAGGGAAATTTGGCTGTCTGGATACAGAATTGGCTGTCCAATGGAAGATAGAAGGCGGAAGTAGGTGGAAAATATTTAGCCTGGAGCTCAGTGACCAGTGGTATCCCTCAGGGATCTGTTCTGGGACCTCTGCTGTCTGTGATCTTTATAACTGACTTGGATGAGGTAGTGGAAGGGTGGGTTAGTAAGTTTGCCGATGACACAAAGGTTGGTGGAGTTGTGGATAGTGTGGAGGGCTGTTGTAGGTTGCAATGGGACATTGACAGGATGCAGAGCTGGGCAAAGAAGTGGCAGATGGAATTCAACCCAGAAAAGTGTGAAGTGATTCATTTTGGAAGGTCAAATTTGAATGCAAAATACAGGGTTAATGGCAGGATTCTTGGCAGTGTGGAGGAACAGAGGGATCTTGGGGTCCACGTCCATAGATCCCTCAAAGTTGTTACCCAAGTTGATAGGGTTGTTAAGACGATATATGGAGTGTTGGCTTTTATTGGCAGGGGAATTGAGTATAAGAGCCGTGAGGTTATGCTGCAGCTCTATAAAACCCTGGTTAGACCACACTTGGAATATTGTGTTCAGTTCTGATCGCCTCATTATAGGAAGGATGTGGAAGCTGTAGGGAAGGTGCAGAGGAGATTTACCAGGATGCTGCCTGGACTGGAGGGCAGGCCTTATGAGGAAAGGTTGAGGGAGCTAGGGCTTTTCTCATTGGAGCAAAGAAGGGTGAGAGGTGACTTGATAGAGGTGTACAAGACGATGAGAGGCATAGAGTGGATAGCCAGAGACTTTTTCCCAGGGCAGAAATGACTATTATGAGGGGGCGTAATTTTAAGGTGATTGGAGGAAGGTAGAGGGGAGATGTCAGAGGCAGATTCTTTACACAGAGAGTGGTGGGTGCGTGGAATGCCCTGCCGCCGATGGTAGTGGAGTCAGACACATTAGGGACATTTAAGCGATTCTTGGATAGGCACATGGATTTTTTTTATTCCTTTATTCAGTCATGGGATGAGGGCGTCACTGGCCAGGCAGCATTCATAGCCCATCCCTAATTGCCCAGAGGGCAGTTACAAGTCAACCACATTGCTGTGGGTCTGGAGTCACATGTAGGCCAGACCAGGTAAGGATGGCAGTTTCCTTCCCTAAAGGGGAATTAATGAACCAGATGGGTTTTTGCCAACAATTGGCAGTGGATTCATGGTCATCATTAGACTCTTAGTTCCAAATATTTATTGAATTCAAATTCCACCATATGCCATGGCGGGATTCGAACTTGGGTCCCCAGAACATTATCTGGGTCTCTGGATTGACGGTCCAGCGATAATACCACTAGGCCATCGCCTCCCCATATTGGATGGCAGTAAAATATAGGGTATGCAGGGTGGTTTGATCTTAGTAGGATAATAGGCCGGCACAACATCGTGGGCCGAAGGGCCTGTACTGTGCTATACTGTTCTATGTTCTAAAACCACTATACTAGATATCACAATATACTGCTATACACATTACAATAGAGGAAATAGAATCACTCAGTACAGTGATCATATCGTTTGTAGTGCACAAGATGGATGTAGTACAGAACTTACCTCAGTAGTGTACGTTCATCTCATATATGTAACAGAAGGGGCAAGGTGCAATGCTACAGCTAATGTTGCAATCAGGCAGCAAAAGAGCCAACACCTGTCACATACATGGGTAATGGGAGATGCTGTATTACCACATGGCAGCAGGAGTTTTGATACAGGAAGAGTCAATCAAGCCCCATCTACAGACATTAAGTGTGCTTACACCAACTGATGCCAGCGAGAGTGGCAACCTGACATAATACCTAAACTGGTTCTACCAAACATCTCACCCTAATCTCATTAGTCCACATATGCTTGTTGTATGGCATAGTACTGAACACCTTTTGGGAGTCCATGTACACCACATCAATGGTGTTACGCACATCAACCTTTTCTGTTACCTTATCAACAATCTCCAGCAAGCTGGACAAGATTGTCACTGAACAATTCCACGCTGACTCTTCCACCTACATTTTTAAGATTTATGAATCACTGACAAAAGAAGTTTCTGTGGACTATGAGAAAGTAAAAAGGAATATATGAGGTGCATATGAGTTTGTTCCTGAGACATACAGGCAAACTATCTGTGACATAGGGAAGCAACGTGGGCAGGCCTACATTGAATTTGAAATTTGATATTTGACTGTTGAATAAGGACATTGGAAGTAAACTTACAGGAAATCAGTCTGTCAGAGAAAAAAATTAAAATTCACTTCCCCCAGTAATTAGAACTTGTGTTGAAGCCCAGAGGGCTGCAAGAGCTAAATGGGTAATGGGATTGGTTGACAGTAATGATTGATCTATAAAATTAAACATTATTTCCATCACCCAGCCATAACCGAAGAGGTGGGAGATTAAAAGAAGACAGGAATAGATAGGAATACACTGGGAATTCCTGCTCAGACCAGAAGGGAGATAGGAAACAAAAGTTGACACCCCAAATGTTTTCAACATAATAAAGTGGAAAACCTTTGTTCAGGATGCTGGATGTTGCATGCAAAGCCCATGGGATTTACTGGGATTTCTAAGAATGATTCTGAAGAAGAAGCCTAGAATGAAAACACAATAGATCAAGGGAGACATGAGACTGTGAGCAGGCATTGCAATGAGTTGCAGAGAGGTAAATGGGGGTGGGGTGAGAAATAAACAGGATATTTATTGAGAGGAAATATAACCAATTTTCCTCAAATGATGTAGATAAATCCAACTACTCAAATTCCTTTGCTGGAGAAAGATAATTCTTCTTTCAGAAAGTACCTTGAAAGCCAAAGTTTGAAGAAATGGAATTAATGTTGAGTTTATATATATTCCTTTGCACCAAGTACTCCAAGAATGAGACTTAGTTTTTGGAGCAGTGAGAGTGGGGTTTGTTACTCCTGTTGTAGCTACTAAGTAATGACATACAGGAGTGAAAATTAGAGCTTTGTCCATAACCAATGCAAGTTGGAGGGAGGTTGAAGAGAGAACAATTACACAAACAGGTTCCAGGTATTTTTCCATTAAGTGTGGTGACCAGAGTAATGTCAAAATATGGAAAACTCCAGCATTGATATATCAACATATTTACTAGCCAAGTCTTCATTAAGGGCAGTTTTGTAGAAATGATGGCAAAATCTCAACTTGCAATCAAACCAGCACAATTAATACCGGCCAGTTTTTGAAGCAATATTTGATATAGTGATAGCAGGTGGTGTAGAATCATTACTGAAAAAGAAAGCAAGATACCAGTATACCCTTCTGTTATGGATACGACAACCCAATTTCCCAATCCTCTGATACCAATCACAAGTGAAATACAGGTGGGAAAAATAACTCAATCGTTTTACTCATTATAGACTGCCACTGGAAGTACACTTAGATCAAGTTTCCAATATTTATGGCTAA